CCATCAATAATGGGTTGAGGGTGTTGTAGTATATTTGTAGTTGACCAGAGATTATTTTGTAATTGTTGTAGTCGAATACGTGTAGAAGTTCCTAGTAAATCAGGATTATTAATTCATAGCATGAAGTTAGATATATGATGTTGAAGCTGTCTCTCTAATAATTGAATTTATGGTATTTCATAAATGAAAAAAAAATTTATTAACCATTTTAACTATTTCAAAAACAGAATAAATAGATATAAAACAGCAATAAATAATGATAATGTTTAATAAATTGCTTGTTTAATGATGTGTTTACCATCTACTTCTTAAAATTTAACTTCTAAACCTTTAATTTCCTTGGTTTCTTGTTCTGTCTGTTTTCAAAATTTCAAATCAGAAAATAGATACAGACAATATTGTAAAGTTATTAAAAAGTATAATGTGTCACATAACGATCTTGATAAAATTCCAGTTAGAATATTGCATGAATTTAAGAATATTTTAATTTAACAAATACATCATCAATTGTCATTAAGTTTTGCCAAGATCAGAAGAAAGATGTTATTAGTTCCATGTACTGAAAGCTTATTTTTTGCTGTTTTTAAAGGTTATGTTCATCAATTTTCAAATAATCCACGAGTGTATAAATGCAGGTTTCATGGAGAGTCTGCATATTCAACTTTAGCACAAATTTTAGAAGATCCTAGATGGGGTCAAAAAAATTATGATCAAAATCAACAAATGTACATCATTTTAGAATGACCTAATATTAATGATGATCAAAATAATGATATTGATCCTCTTAAGCAATTAAATAATCAAAAAAGAAAAAGAAAACTTAAATTTTTTCATGATGAGTTTCTGGTAGAATGGAAAAAAAAATTATTAAAGAAATAGATGAATATATTTGTGCAGTAGGATTTGTATATTTATCTTTTTATATTTCACAAAGATATATACTTTAACATTAATATTATCTGATTATAAATTAATAAAGCTATTATCTGATTAGAGCTAACAACATTGATACATATATATGAAGTCATAAGCTCAATAGTGAGACCTGTTGATATTATATGACTGATTTTTCATCCAATATGAAATATATAAAAAATCATTTTACAATACCAGATCATTCTGCTAATACATGTGTTATGATTATAATCATACACTGTTTTTATTATAATCATAACATATACTAGTAGAATGATTTGGTATTGTAAAATGATTTTTTATATATTTTATACTGGATAAAGAATCAGCCATGTAATATCAACAGTTCCTTCTGTTCATAGGTTATACTTTTGATAAGCAAGCCACAAAATCCATAAAAAGTGATTTTAGTAATTATCCAAAAAGGTTTTTTTCTTTGAAAACCAATCGATTAAATAAAATTTTGTACTTACAACACAATTAAATTGCAGTATCAAATAGTAAAAGTTGGAACTAAAATGGCTATATATCTCTTACATCATTCTTAAGTTGGTAGCTATGTATGCTTCACACTATACTGTGAAGAAAAATGTAACAGTTGTGAACATTGAGCAAACAGACACAGCAATTGAATTAATTTAAATTAAGGTCGCAATATAAATCAGATCTGCTTCCTTATGTATTTTTATTAATTCCATAATAGACACTTATAACTACTAATATATTAATAAACCTAACTTAAAAAATTTTGAATTTTTATAAATTATAAGAGAGAGTCAGGTATTCTGGCACAGGAGGTAATATAGCACACTAAAGTTTTTTTAAAGTATCTTGTAATACAATAATTCGAAATGAATGATTTTAGCATCATTTAATTTGCCTTATTAAGATGAATTAAATAGTGTCAAAATCACTTTAATTGGAATTATTGGCTGCTAGATATAAGCAACATTAATAAAAAAAATTAAAAAACACCAAAATTAACAAATGTGTACATATTCAGCATGCCTCAGCCTAATTAAGTAACTTATTAATTAAAATATATAATTTAATTTCTTGACGATATATTTATATCAAGTAAGTGAAAATTTTTACAATATAAACTTAACTTCTCTTTATTATGTAAAGAGTGACAATCATAATAGAATTTTTGGAAACTAGAATTATATTCTTCTTTATCACAAAATAGATCAGCAAATTTACATATCTTTAACCTTTTGAGAGTATATCTATACCTATATTCTCTATCAAAAATGCTATCATTACTTACCACTTTTTCAAATCTTTTGTATTTTTTGAGAATATATTTCATCTTAGTGAGAAGTTTATAATTATATATAAGATCGTCAAAAAAATGACAACTGATTTAATTTGATCGAATTTATGACTACATGATTGATAATTGTCAGTCAGCTTAATCTTTTCATTTATGATTATTAATTTCAAGAAGTATTTTATGATATCAATTAACTACTTGTAAAGAGACAGAAGTACAAATTTTATCTGATCTTTAAATTCACTGGGTCATAGGTACTGTTGATTAAATTATTACAAAGGATTGAAACTATATTGTTAATTTCTTCATAATGTGGATCAGGAGGGTATTCCATTTTTAATATATACTAAGTTTTTTTTAAATTTTCTTCAAGATAAATATTTTTACCTATCATTTAATATAAATTTAGTTTAATTTAGCTTTAATTGAGAATTTGGTCTGTTAAATAACTAATTGTCTAAAGAAACCAATATGATTGTTGTTGTATATGGTCTTAAAAAAACTATCATAATTGTGATTTTATATATTGTATACTCAAAATTTTTTCATTAATGATCACTGAGAACATGCAATTTTAATAATGATGCATGCTAGATCATCGAATTTGACACTTTATTACCTGAATCCTTATATAATCTAATACTAATTTAG